ATACATAAGTAATTAAATGAAAGCTCTTAGTACTTTCCAGAGAATCAGGATTCCAATTTAAACTAGTTCCTCTTGGGTGGAGCAGATACAACATCTAGTTTCCTATGATCTGGTGTATGTAATATTTAAAAACAAAGCCCATTTTTAATGCTGGTATAGACTGTAACCCCAAATGGGGTCACCTGACACTTACCCATTGATGCCATCAGGTGAGAAAGAGCTTCAGGATCAGGAGGCAGGGTGCCTTCTCTGTGGAAAGAGGATGGAGTTTAAGGAGAGACACATGAGTTTGAATCTGGACTGGCTCTGCCACTGGCTGTAGGAACCTCAGGCAAGTGTCTCTCTGTATCAATGAAGTTCCATGACCTCCTCGGTGAAATGGGAGAACCATCTACCTGGTGATGTCTTGGTGAACATCTGGCGCATTTTAGGGGCTTAAAAAGAGTAGCGGTTATTATTACTTCTGATTCACAGAATTAGGTGTCCACAGCTGAAATGAATCCCCAGGGAAGGCCTATTTCGCCTCGCGGTAACAACCTCTTAGAGGTCGAGGCTGGGCCTTCCAGACCTACTCATGAGCCTCCCAATAGACTTCCACTGCAACAGAAATGCTTTTCTGCCTCTTTACAATTGCAACCCAAAGGTCAAATCAAGTCACTCCCCACCACCGCCCAGCACAATGCAACGACAGCATTCAGCAAGCTCCCCCTGCCCTACTTTGTGCATAGTGGGGGTGGGGAGGGCAGGGCTAACACTGTTTCTCATCCCAGATTCTGCAGAACTCTACACTTCTCTGATCTCAGCAGACATGTTGCCAGAGTCTCCCTCTCTTACCTCCTCAAACCCCGCCTTTTCTTGAATTTTTAGCAGCATCTCCTCTCCACTGTCAGGCCACGCAGGGAACCCAAACACTCTCCCTCTGGCCTTCTGCTGAGCAGACTTACCCATGGACCTATCCTCAGGGCTCTGCTTCCACAGAAACATGACCCAAAAGGCAGTTCTTTCTCTGAGATCCTGGGGCCAGATTTTTAATATTTACATATATAACATAAGCACAAAATGGTATAAAAATCAAAATATACTTAAAAAATTGTCTCTTTAGCACCCATGCCCAGTAACACATTGTCGACACTTCCTCCCCTACCGTTATTGGTTCCTTGTTTATCTTTCCAGAGGCACCCTATTCCTTACAAAACTTCTGTGTGTGTGTCTCCCTCCCTTATTTATTTGTTTGATTTTTATTTCCCTTCCTTCCTTTCTCCCTTCCTTTCTTATAAATGAAACCTACTAGATTTTTAGATGCCTTGTTTTTTTCAACTTAACAAAATCAGTGCATAGTTTAAGGCCACTGTTAAATTTAGACTTTTTCTGTCCTCTCAGTGTTCTCCAAACCTTTATGCTATGTCACCCCTTTTGTTAAAAAATTGCTGAAGACAACCAAAATATGTATAATTATTCACTCATTTATAAAGTATAACCATGCCACTACTGTACTAATAACATTTATACTATGAAATATTAATTAAAATGGAAACTTTAAAATGATAAAGGATGAAATTTTAAATACTTAAGTCTTAAAAATTGACTTTTAGTAGTACAAAATATTTATACTTTCTAAAATATTACTGTTAGTATTTTTAATAGGAGCAATGTGTTGAATATGCTTTGTCATGTTTGAAAATCTTGGGTTACCCTTTTGTGAGATAACATTATATGTTATATATGTTCAGTTTATTTTGACACTTGGTTTCCAAGTCCATCAGAGCTGAAAAAGACACATTCCAGAGATGTAGATCCAAATGGAAGCAACACCTCATTAGATGAACTTTTTTAACTCCCAACATGCATTTTTCAATCCCATCTTTTATGTAAAGACATTTGTTGAAATTTTTCCTGAGTTAAGGATTTTTTTTTTTTTGGTAATGCACACACAGTAAATGGAAACATTTCCAAACATCTGTTTTCAAAATGCTCTTGCCATAGATTAAATTTCTTTTGCAAAGAAATTACATTCTCACTAATTTTTAAAGTATCACTTCTACCTTGAAAGGGCAGATTATGTGTTTACTTTTTAAAAAAATATCTGCTAGATGACATACTAACAATAGCCACTCACTCATCTGCAACCCTTGTCTTTTTGTCAAAGAAAGAAAGAATGCAGGACCCATTCTCAGGTTCTACAGCTCCTTTAAATACACTGCCCTGAGATAGCCCGTGTGGTACAAGAGACTGACCTGGCCATTTCCCATCACATGGCAAAGAGTTATAAAGATCCTACTATTTGAAGACTTTGTTTTTATGAAATGAACCACATTGATAACATCCTACAGGCATGTACATCACAGTCACTGGCAGTATGCTGGACCCAGAAGCTTGAGAAGATGCCTCACCTGTCCCCACTATAATTCCCCTTGTTTATGTAAGTTGTCTGCTTGCAGTAACGGCAGTCATGTGACACTTTCTGCCTGTATCTTGTCTGGACTAAGGGAGGGCACCTTAATGGACTGGTGTATCTCATGGAGGATGCCTACCCCACTGGGAGAGTCTCTCCACAAAGGACTCTCTCCAATTAAATTCAAAAATTTGCTTTTCTTTAGTCTCTGAACTACCCTACCCTCCCTTCTTTTAATGTAAAATACCTGCCAGATTCAGTCTCCATAGGACTGTAGCCTCAAGGGACTTGGCTAGGGTTGCTCTGGGAAGGCCTGGCAAATTGTCCCCAACAGTCCCCACCGGCCTAGTGCCTGGGACAGGGAGATGATAAAAATGACAACATCTAAAACAATGACAACATCTACCACTTCCACTTATTGAGCTCTGATTTTGTGTTGATCCCTACTCTAAGTGTTCCATAAGAACAGTCCATTCTGTCTGTTCACTGTAGATATTTTCTCTAACACCTCCCTAAACACTGAATTAGAGTTCTGAAACACTGCTCCCAGGGAAATCCAGGATTTGGTTCCTACTAGCCTTTGGTCACAACATTTTGGTCATCCAATCAAAACATAACCTTGTTTTATGTGTGTTAAAGAAACCTTATTTAACATATAGTGTTGCTTCAATAATATTGACCAACAGCATATTACTCACACCTGAACGAACCTTATCTAACACACATCTTTTCGCCATAAGGCACATCACAGCCTTCTTGTGCTCAAGAACACGAGCACTTCAGCACTATGCTTGGGAGTCCGTTTAAATAGCAAAATCACCAATAAAAGCACAAAGATGCAGAAAATGTGGCACTAAGTAGACTGCCAAAAGGATGCTTGTTTACATTAGGAGAGCTGAAACGAGAAGGCAGTGTTGCCTTGTTTGACCTCAGCTGAGAATGTGCACACTGGGTAACTCAAATTCGTCATCACTCTGTGCATGCTCACAAATGACCACAAAGTGGGCAAGTACTGATTTGGGGATTACAAATCAATTTTAATCAGTAGGGGATGCAAATATGGAATCCACTAATAATGAGGCTTGACTATATCATCTCATGGTTCCTTGGTGAAACAGTCACTATGACAATGATATATGAGCTGGAAGGAACCTCAGAAATCTCTTCTGGCTATCTTCTTTGAGACTTTGGGAGGCTAGTACAGTGAGATGACTTATCCAAAACATCCAGTGCATGTGCGACACACCTGGGACTAAATCCCAGGTCTCCCAGCCGCAGTTGGTGCTCTTTCCACTACATATTATCGGGACCAAATGCAACTATTTAACTTGCATGTGGGGCTATATGCAAAGCTTTGTGCACACTTCCCCCAGTTTATTCTCTGCAATAATTAAAATTTGCTTTTGATCAGAATGTTCATTTTGAGGTCTCACAGTATATGGGCACAATGCACAACATGTATAAAAAAAAAAAAAAAAAAAAAAAAAAGGAAAATCTCAACCCTGAATGAAATCAGGAACAAAATGAGAAATTAAAAGAACTCAATAAAATATCTTCAGCAAGAGGCTTTGACTTTTTAAATTTAGTTCCCCGGTAAGCCAATTCATAGATGGGTAATATGAGGGGGAAATGATGTGGAAAAAGCCAAATGTGCTGTAGAATTAGAGATGTGAGCATGTGATGCATAAATAGGAAAGATGTGCCGAGATGTGATATTTTAGTTGGAAAATTACTCATGTATGCATATTTATAAATGTATATATTTTGATGCAAGATGATCTCACATTTTTTTGATATTCCAACAATTATTATACAAAATTAGGTTATTCTTTATTTGGCTAAAAGAAGTACAGAATTTAAAACCCAAATTAAAAATGTCTCATAACTAATGTGGCCTGCAGGCTGTTTGATAAATGCGTATATTTCAAATGAACCGACGAACTAAAAAAAACAAAACAAAAAGAAAGAAAAGGCAAAGATTTAGTATGTTCTCTGATTAAGATCCTCTGCTTATCGTCAATCAGTACATCATTTCACTTACACATAAGATTTCTAATTCAAAGAATTCCAAGCTACCTTTCTTGCTAAGACTTTCTACATTCCAAAGTCTCTTCTTCACCACTATTATAAGGTCACCCATTCCTCTGGAATGATGTCAGATGTTCTTAGCTGATATTTACCAAACACCTTCAGATGCATGGTATGATAAACTTTTCTGTTATTTGTAGAACAAGATGTAGTTACAACTTTATTCATTTACTGAACTTTTCACATCATTTTAGAAGGAATTTAAAATTCCTATTCAAGGCCCCAATATCCCATTTATTTATCCATTTCCATCTGAATCGGTGTCTCAGAATCCATCCTTTCCATCCTCTAAGTTAAAAGCTGTAATTCTAACTCATGCACAGCACCTTCTTACAGTTAATTTTGTAGTGATCCTCCAAAACAGAACCTCACTTGTTTCAAGGATAATTTTTATTGATGAGAAACATTTTGCAGATTTAAAAAGATAATTTTCCTATTTATGTGACATTTCCTGTTTTGAAAATTTTCTTTTCAAAGATTAAAATCCCTGACGTTCTCTTTTAGGAAAGTAGCTGATCCATCAATAAGGATCCCATCCTCTTTCAAAAATGAATCGATTAATCATGTCAAAAGATCTCAAAGGCTGATCATAGGGCAAAATGTGGCCTCCACCTCGAACAATTACCTTAAAGAAGAAAAACAGAAGAAAAACTGAAATTTAGAGAATCAGATATTCCAGATAAATGGAAAGTTTTAATTTGGATTAAAGTATTCTTAAAGCTCACATGAAATAAAGAACATATTGTATCAATCCATGACTTTGGATATGCTGATTGTCTGCTTTTGATAGCATTAATAATAGGTACCTTAAGGTAAGAAAGTTTTAAGATTGTGTAGTTATTCAATTTTATACCAAGTTGCGTTCATCTTTGACATGTATAGAACTGGAAAATTCCTCCTTGTCTTTTTCCTCTTGGGACGGAGCTGTCTGAGCCTCCGTGCTGTGCTGTAATTCTTACCCGGTTATGGCACTAAGGTGGGGAGACCTACCCCAGACCAGCTCTGCCTGCAACTGGGTGGAGGAATCTACCTAATTCCACCCTTCAGTTAGCTGGTCCACTTGGCTGTCACACTAAGCTATACCTTCCACCTTAGCCTGTACCATTAATAAAGGAGATATTTTGATCCTCCAAAAAATTAAAACAATAACAAAAGAGAAATCCTTGATAGCTGAAATTTTAAGAGCCCATTTTTGAGCAGCAAAGAGTTAGAACATTCTATTTTTCCTGACACTTTATTATGAAACATTTTCAAACATATAGCAAATTTGAAAGAATTTCATATATGCACCATTTAGATATTCTCATTAACGCTCACTTTTCTTCTTACAGATGGATCTCACTATTCATCTATTAATCCACCTTATCTTTTTGACACATTTCAAAGTAAAATGGGGGTATCAGTATACTTCTCCCCGAATTCTGTGTATAATTTACATATAACGGAATCCACTAGTCTTAGGGGTAAACTCAACAAGTTTGGATAACAATGGACCCCTCTGTCACCTCTCAGGATATATACAGCATCCTTAAAACTTCTGTAGTTGAGGTGAGTTCAGACTCACACAAGAGCCTACAAGGGGCCACCCTTAATGCCAGGCTCTGCACTCGGAAAGTCTGGTTTCAGCCAATGTCCCAAGGACCTCTCTACAACAAGGGCAGGCCTTCATGATTCAAAAAGGGAAAGAACCGACACTGAGTGCTGGGAGGCCGCATGCAGGAGAGATCCCTGTGGCCTGAGGGGTCCTGTTGCATATGTGGAGAATGGACAGGAGTTAGTAGTGGCTGATGTAAGTGAACACATGCAGTAAAGCAATCACATTCAGTGACTTCTAGCTGCTGAATCACAATCAAGAATTAAAGGCTACTTTTAAAAAGTCCCTTTATTAGAGGCCGACCTTGTACCTGCATCAATCTGAAAAGAACTGAAGCAGAAAAAAAAAAAAAAATATATATATATATATATTTGCATAGTGTGTTGATTATATTACCCCCTCCCCCCAACACCCACCATCTTCCAACCTTGCTGTGAGATAAGTGGATCAACGTTATTAGATGAATTTTATTTTGCAGCTTACAGCTGTAGAAGCTGTGCCCTGAACAACGGCAGAGAGCACCCTTCACAGCAGCGTCGAGGAGACTGTTTGGAGCTATAAGGGGGCTTGTCCAGGTCATACAATTGTAAGTGGAGGAAGCAGCTAGAACCCTGGCTTCTAATGCAAACACCAGTGTTTTTAATCAAATTACAGTACTTACACAATAATTCCTTACTTTGAACAGAACTTTATGGCTTAGTCACAGAACGTTTCACTCGCCTCAGAACAGCCCTCTGAGGTAGGTAAGGACTGAGATTGGCCTTACCCCTCATATACCACTGGAGACATCTGCTCTATGCTACCCTCCATCAGCCGTCATCTGTGCTTTGCTGCTCTGACAGTGGCGTCCATCTACCATTTGTGTTCCAGCTTGCATCTGGAAACCCACCGTGTCCCACTTTTTGTCACAGACTGAAAGTAAACACATCTGTGACAAGAGCCCGTGCATGTGGCTCTGGAGGGAAACTTCTGCTGCCCCCACTATCCCAGGCTAGAATTCTCTTCCTGTAGCTTCTCATCCAATTCTCCGGCCTTGGCAGGAATCCGATGAGCGATTTCTATGCAGCTTCGGCTCAGCTGAGGACATTTAACGAAGTCATGTTTATGACAAAACCCAGCTGCTTAAGCTGGAAATGAGTTTGGTGGCAACCATCCAGAACAGTAATAAACTGAATACTCAGGAGCTAAAGGTCATCCTGTCTTCCGGACCAGAGCTGCCACTAATGGGGGAATAGCACAGTGCTTGATGGCCTGGGCTCGGGAGTCAAAGTGCGGGAGCACGACCAGAGGCACAGCAAGCTGTGTGACCTTGGGCAATTAACTTCATGTCTCTGAGTTTCTGTTTCCTTAACTGTACAACAGAGAATAAAATATTATGTCCTGGGATAGTTGTATAAGGAATTAATGGAATAATATTGGAACACTTGGCACAGTGCCTGGCCTGGGATGGTACTTAAGAAATACCAGCCGTTGTAATTATTCTTCCAGTAATTATCTGTATTCAAATTCCAAGATCAAAATGGTTGTATCAACCTAACCAACCTAGAACATTGTGTTCCTACATTAGCATGGAAAAATCTTGGTTTAAGCGAGTTAACACAGTAGTTCTCAAACAAACGTGCATAAAAGTACCTGAGCTTGTTAAAGCAGACTGCTGTGTCCCCTGCATTGGCAGGCAGATTCTTAACCACTGCGCCACCAGGGAGGCCCCTAAGAATTTGTGTTTCAAACAGTTCCAAAGTAATGTGGTGCTGTTGGTCCAAAGACTACGCTTTGAGAACCGCTATTTAAACCAACTTTCTATTTTGTGAGAAACCAGGCAGTTCTGTTTTTACATCAAGGGAGAATACAAAGAGAAATTTGGTTAACATCTACTCATGACCTCACCTTAGTGTATTTTTTCCTGATCATCTGCTCTCCTGGTGTTTACACACACACACACACACACACACACAGTCTCTCTCACACACATTCTCACACACACACATCCACCTTCTATATCCATGATAAACAAGTGGTAAAGAAGAGATGACAGGGGTTAGGTGTTATAATTCTTATTCACAGTGAGTTGCCTGATCCCTGGTCCAATTCTGAGCTGCCATATGTAATGACAAAATGACATCATAAATGATGTCATTAAGATTGGAAAGAAAAGCTCATTTAGGAACAAAGTCTTTTCCACATACCACAAAATTCTCCATGTTCTCTATCAGATTCCCATACAGCATTTTACTGAAGTTAATCTCAGAAATAAATTTATGAGTGCTGAAAAAGAACCCACTCTGCTGTTTATAGCCAAGCTACTCACCACTCACGAATCAAGAACACAAATCACTACAGAGTTTTTAGAGCTGTGTAAAAAAATGTGACAGGGTCATGATTACATATTTAAATGTGACAAGATTAATCTCAAGGCTCCCTGGATAGAAATGGTCTCATCACCAGAAACTATATTTTTTGGGTGCTTTCACACTAGAACTGAAACCCCTAAACTCATGTGTTCCAGATGTCATGAATTTTCAAAGGGTTATACAAAACACTTTAAAGCTTCATTCCACTTTACGTTTTAGGAAACAATACAATGCTCCCTGCAACTAGAAACATGGACCTGGCAATAAAGGTTTCTCAGTTGTGCCTTTTGAGATGAAATATAGAGGGAAATTCACAATGTGTGTGTTGACATAGATGTGTCAGGGGAGACTTCCTGGGAGTCTTGGAGGAGCAGATCACCGGACAACGGTGGGTGGGGAGGGGGAAAGGGATGCACTAAAGACAAAGGAAACTGTGAGTTCAAAAACAGTGGGGAGGGCTTCCCTGGTGGCAGTGGTTGAGAATCCTCCTGCCAATGTGCGGGATGCGGGTTCGAGTCCTGGTCCAGGAAGATCCCACATGCCGGGGAGCAACTAAGCCCGTGTGCCACAACTACTGAGCCTGGGCTCTGGAGCCCGCGAACCACAACTACTGAGCCCACATGCCACAACTACTGAAGCCTGCACGCCTGGAGCCCATGCTCCGTGGCAGGAGAGGCCACAACAGTGAGAGGCCCACGCGCAGCAGCGGAGGGTGGCCCCTGCTCACCGCAACTGGAAGGAGACCGCGCACAGCAACAAGGACCCAACGCAGCCAAAAATAAATAAATTAAAAAAGAACAAAAACAAAAACAAAAAACCATGGGGCGTGAAACTGCATGGCATGTGCAGTAATCCAAAAGAGGTTCCAGGTGTAAAGAGTTAGTGGGAAAGCAGAAGGGACAGTTGAACAGGTAAACCCCATATGACATGCTGCTGGGATGCATGGACCTTATCCTATAGGATTTGTGTGTGTGTGTATGTGTGTGTGTGTTAAAATACACAAAATATAAAATTATTATTCTAACCATTTTACAGTGAACAATTCAGTAGCATTTAATATATTCACAGTGTTGTGCAACCATCACCACTATCTAGTTGCAGAACGTTTTCATCACCCCAGAGGAAACCCTATACTCATTAGCAATCACTTTCCATTCCTTTCTTCCTGCCAGTCCCTGGCAATCACTAATCTACTTTCTGTCTCTATGCGTTTGCCTATTCTGGATATATCCTCAAGGGTTTTAAGCAGAGTAGTGATATGCTCAGATTTGCATTGTAGAAAGATGACTTAATATGTAATGAGGGGGCTGATTTGGAAGGAAATGATACTGGGGTAAGGAGGCAAATTAGGAGACTAGATCTGCAGGTGAGAGATGATGTAGGCTCATAAGACAGATGGTGAGAAGGGGAAGGGAAGAGAGATGCTGGGATAGAAATAATAAAATTAGTGATTAATCAGACATAAAGTTTAAGTGAAAGCACCCCCCCTCCAACACACAAACATCCTCCCCATTTCAGGCTTCTGACATGTGCAGCTGTGTAAGAAGTGATATTATTAACCAAGAAAGAAGAAAAGAGGCACATGGCAGAAGCAGGTTTGGGAGGCAGGTGATATAGGATAGTTTATAGTCCTTGTTTTCTACTACAGGTTGATGCAGACACTCAAGAGAATCTTGTTTG